TTCCTTCCTTCCTTTCCTTCCTTCCTTCCTTCCTCCCTCCCTTCCTTCCTTCCTTCCTTCCTTCCTTCCTTCCCTCCCTCCCTCCCTTTCTTCTTTCCTTCCTTCCTCCCTTCCTTCCAAATTTTATTTATAGTTTTTTGGTTCAACATCGTATACACATATTCAAACATATGTCTTCCATCTTTGAAGTCTGTTATATACATTTTTTCTTCTAACCATTTATACACTCTAAGCCATCTTTTTTGAAAACGTTTTTCATCTTTTCCTTGAAGTAACACATTAAGTTTACCCATTTCAGCCACTTCTAATATTTTTCTTAACAAATTCATCTCTTAAGGGTATTTTTTCTGATTTCCGGTATTTAGCTACTAGTATTCTAGCTGATGTAAGTATGTATGTCAATAAGTACTTATCATTTTGTTCATAACATTTAGGAATTATGTTCAACCAATATATCTCTGGTAACAGTTCTAAGTTAATATTCATTATTTCCATTATTATTATTTTTAACACTTTGCCAAAATTTATATACTTTTCCACATTTCCACCACATATGAAAAAATGTTCCTATATTCGATTTACATCTCCAACAATTCCCAGAAGCATCTTTATACCCTTCAACGATTCTATCAGGTGACCAATATCCTACTACCTGGTGACTTTCAACTGGAGATGCCGGGGGTCGAACCGGGGACCTTCTGTGTGTCAAGCAGAGGCTCTACTCCCGAGCCACAGCCCCTCCCATCTCCACAATGGGAGGCCACAAAATGGCAGCACCCCTTCAAAGAGTATGAGGCCTCTGAGGCAGAGGGGAACTCTGGACAGCCCCCCCCCCCCCCCCCGATTTGATTCTCTCTGAGGGAAAAGATGTAGGAGTAGATGTCCACAGTTCTTCCAGCAGCAGAAAGTCATGCTGGTTGTCAATATTTCTGGCCTACTTTACAGAGGTGTTCAAACAATGACTGAGACGTGGAGGAATGTAAGGAAAACGCTGTACAAATGTCAAATGTTGCCCCTGGTTTTTAGAGAGTAAAATCTAGTTTCGGCACGCCCGTCGCCTACCTTTATTTTTGGCTCCATTCTTTGCAAGGATTGGATAAGAGGGATCCCATAGGCAAGCGTTTTACCTTTAGAAGAGCAGAGAGAGAAATTTTTTTTTAAACCACGGACTTTTTTAAAAATGGGAGAATTTAGATTTCAAAAACCCATTCCCGTAACTCCACGCTGAGAGGGGCATTTCCCCCACACAGCTGTCTGAAGATCATCTGGGGGCAGAGCCTGGCGCTTGGGAAAAGGGACAGATACGCTCGGCCTCCTGACTCTTGGGCGGCTCTCTCTGTCTTCCCATAGGAGGGGCTGTGGCTCCACCCAAAAGCATCTGTTCCGCATGGAGAAGGTCCTGGGTCCAGGTCTCAGCAGCTCAAGCAGCAGGTCCTGGGGAAGGCCCAGAGGGGCCACGAACCGTCAGCAGGGACCAAACTGAGCAAGGTGAACCCACCTGAGAGCCAGTTTGGTGTAGTGGTTAAGTGCGTGGACTCTAATCAGGGAGAACCGGGTTTGATTCCCCATTCCTCCACTTGCAGCTGCTGGATGACCTTGGGCAAGCCACAGTTCTGATAAGAGCTGTTCTCGAAAAAGAGCAGTTTCTGTCAGAGCTCTCTCAGCCCCACCTGCCTCACAGGGTGTCTGTTGTGGGGAGGGGAAGGGGAAGGAGTTTGTAAGCCGCTCTGAGACTCCTTTGGGTAGTGAAGGGCGGGGTATAAATCCAATCTCTTCTTCTTCTTCTTTTACCTCACAGGGTGTCTGTTGTGGGGAGGGGAAGGGAAAGGAGTTTGTCAGCCGCTCTGAGACTCCTTCGGGTAGTGAAGGGCGGGGCATAAATCCAAGCTCCTCTTCTTCTTCTTTTACCTCACAGGGCGTCTGTTGTGGGAAGGGGAAGGGAAAGGAGTTTGTAAGCCGCTCTGAGACACCTTTGGGTAGTGAAGGGCGGGGCATAAATCCAAGCTCCTCTTCTTCTTCTTTTACCTCCTGATGGCCACTGTGTGACACAGAGTGTTAGACTGGATGGGCCATTGGCCTGATCCCACATGGCTTCTCTCAGGTCTTTTTTTAAAAAAGAGGTGCCAGGACTCTCAAGGGGAAAATGAAGTTTTCAATCTGCAAACTGAAAACTCACGAACTTTTAAACACTTTAAATATGTTTCTCTGGCTTTTCTTGCGTTCTCATGAGATCGTTTCCTCAGGGTGTGAACGGAGCAACACTGCTACTCTCTCTCCCAAAAAGAACCCCTCCAACCACCCTTCCAACTGTCAGTTCTCCTTCCCCCCCCCCCAGCCCCCTGCTGGATGCTTCCGTTGTCCTGGAGGCGACACACCAATCAGAGTGAGCCTCTGCTACCACCTCCCGCTCAGAGTGGTTTTTCATAGTTCATCACAGCCGGCTCTGAGACAGACCCTCGAGGGGCTCAAAGCAACTTACACGGAACGTATGCAGTGAACATATCCAGCATTACAACCCCAGATCCGACAGCAAGGAGGCCAACGTCCAGCCCCCTCCATCTACGGCTAAAGGTGACCGAGGAGGAGGAAAGAAAGATACTGGAGGCCCAGGAGAGCCACCACCAACCTGAAAAGGTCACAACAGCTTAAACGGAGCTTCGTGGAGGTAATGCAAGAGCCCCGTGGACTTCCTCTCTTTCTTCTCTTCTTTAAAAAGCCCACCTCGGAAGAGGAGTAGCTAACATGTGGAATTCCCTGCCGCAGGAAGTGAGGATGGCTACAAGCAGAGACAGCTTCAGGGGTGGGGGAGTGGATCAACATAATGGAGCAGAGGTCCACGAGTGGCTATCAGCCACAAGGTCTAGGGAACCCTGTCTCTGGAGCAGTGATGCTCTGTGTTCTTGGTGCTTGGGGGGGGGGTAACAGTGGGGCGGGCTCTTGGGGT